GAAGCCCGGTGGCTGGGTAATTAGAAGGGTGGATTTTTACTGATCGGTATGCTGACTTGAGGTCAACTTTAGCTAAATAGCAGCCAGGAGTAACCAAATTAACGGCATCATCAATGGTTTGGTACTGGAAGGAATCGTGGGGGGGCATAATCATTAACAGCTCTCCCTTCAGGCAGGCTGCAGTCATGAATTAGGCGAACATCTGCAGAATTGGGTTTGGGGATGGCCCCCAATGCACTAACAATAGTGGGTTTGGTTGGGGTTATGATGTAATGACCGTCAATAAGTTCTGACCTAAGCTGTTTTTCCACCTGCTGTCGAGAACCCACCGTGGCAGACTTATAATTGGCAACATGTGCTGGTTGGAATCGACTTTCTGGTGAAACGATATGGAACCCATCACGAATCCCCTCTAACAAGAATTCTTTGTCTGGATCATCCTTAAGCTCAGATTCCCATTCCGAAAATTTTAAGGCAGATGAAAAGGCAGGGGGAGATATCGACACAGGACTACCTAGTTTTTTGAGTGCGCAATTTTTGGATGCAGTTTTCCACAGAGAGGTTCAATGCAAATATGAGAGTATGTGCATTTGTCGCCAAATTTACAGTTGCCTCTGTTATAACCAATACAAATGGGTTTTCCAGTGGCTTTGTCAATAGGAGATTGGGAAGTATGCCCATTAGATGATTGCCTACTATTTGCCATTTTTGACACTGATGTAGTAAAAGATTTTTCCTTCAAAACAACTGTGTTTATGTGGGGGATATCACTGCCCCATTGAAACTGGTGTATAGCTTGATACTGTCTGTATTGACGATCATAATATAACACTGAAACCCATGAGTATCTATCAGCCAGCAAAGAAATTTTGTCAGTATATGCTAAATAATAAAAAAATTTCAGTAAGTTTCAATGCACCTGTACGCACAAGTTCAGCCATAATACGTGCATTGGCACCGAACCATTGTGATGGGAATACGTTCTCAAGTTTGGGTTTCTTACATTCTGTCTCAAAAATAAGTCTGGAGCCATTCTGGCCTGTCCCTATCACTTGCTGTTCTTTTGTCTGTAAAGTAGAAGGAATAAAATCGACAATGTCTAAGTATTTCTCACCTTTCTTCCCTTGTAAATAAATTAAGGGGTCTAAGTCCGCCCTAATAGGGATGTTTGTTGCGGTTTTTATAACACTGTGCTGTGACAGCAGATCTGCTAATGGAAGTCCGGTGGGCGGTTGCGTTGTTTGTGGGTCCAGTGAGGAGAGAAATTGCTGTAAAACGTTCGGGGTATCGGTCGCACTGGCGATGTTGTGATGGGCTGTATCAGGCTGACTGGACGTCGACGGTACAGATTCACGTCCTGTGTTGGCGGCCATGTTTGTTGTTGTCGTGTTACCGTTGGTGGCGCTTGGTGTTGCAACGTCGTTGGGTGGGGGTTGTTGACTTAGGTGATTACCAGGGTTGGGCGCATTGATCGATGGCGTCTGTATGCTGAGCGGGTTACTAGTCAAGCTGTCCTTCCTGCTATTGCAAATTGCAGCATCCAGGAGGCGTCGTTGAGCTATCGGTTCTATATTCATCGCATCCAAATCTTCGGATTGTACTAAACGAATGGCGGTCATTGACGTAAAGCCACACTCTGCTAGTTTTTCGAGCGTGAAAGACGAGAGTTCATGCGTCGTAGCCCATTGTTGTACGTCTAAATTGACATGTGGTGAGCTGATTAGAGTACCTGAGCGAGGAGTTGCGAATAGATTTGGAGATGATGAT